AAAAATTAAGTCATAGACATCACATACAAGAACGCACATTTCTTCATTTCAAGTTGTACTTCTGTGGCTTTATGAAGGCGTGAATGATCCAGATACCTCAAAAAATAATAAAGTCAACCGCGATCGAACAAAATTGATTGAATTTAGATTTCATAATTTTTCAAATGAATTTTGAGGAAGTGGGTCTGTGCCTTTAAGCAAGCCCAATTAAAAATTGTTAGATTTTTTGAATGAAGATTCTCAAACAAGTGATAAAGCATTTAGATTAAGAAAGAGAACTTTTCAAACGAGAAACGACTAGAAATTTCTTCATTTAAAACTTAATTGAGCTATAAACAAAATGATTCTAATGCAAATTTTTTTCTGCATTTGAAATTCCAGAGATCCGCTCAAGATCTCTCATCAACTTGATGATAATCCAATATATTATTTAATTAATTCAATCATCATTGTTTTTATTCTAAACAGGACACAAGTCATTGATGATATTTTAATAAAAAATAAGCTTGTGTTTCACATGAATGCACCGAAGGTCATTTGAATATGAAATAGTAAAAACAGAATTGAACCTAAACAGCTAACAAAAAATTGATGATAATTGGAATGGATTTGGTTGTTTAGACCGTGAATCACAGGCGTTTTGTGACTCATGTAATATAAAATAGGAAAATTATGACTTCACCTACATCGGCTATGGCAATGAATGCGCTAATGAAAAAATTTACAGACAGAAAAACCTTTTTTTTAAGAAGAATTGAGATTTTAAGAAAGATATGAAACTTGAATTAGAAGAAAATATTCGTAATTCTCGGTAAAGAGACACACATTAAGTTGTTTATAATCTTTTCTTTTTCCTTATTTTTATTTCATGCATGAGACAATTTTTTCTCTTTTTATTTTATCTTGAATCATTGCTAAAAGAGAGAAAAAAATTATAAAAAAAATTATTTTTTAAAATGAGAAGTAAAGAAAATTTTTCAAATTTAAAAAAAAATTAATTAATAAGCTAACAATACGTCATAGACATATTTCATAGGTTATGAATTATAATATTAAGCTAAAAAAACAAGAAATTGAATTAATAAATTTTATTGATCATTAAAAGAAACAAAAAAAAATAATAAGTTTTAGTGTTAATGCCACACATTGCATTATAAAAATGAAAATAAACTGAAAAATTTATTGATTGACAAAAAAAAAGAAGTAAAGAACCAATGCATTTTGAATTGTTTATTTATTCCACTACTGACCTCACATTTTATGTTTTCTGCGTTGTTTTCGACTTCTAATGGCCTTTATAGATGCATAATAAATTAACTGGCACTGAAATCACCTGTATCAAATTATAATTCCATATTTAGAAATCATATCACACATCTATGCATTATTTATGGTAAAGAGCGCTTGAATCATAAGTTACAGTATTATTCGATTTGGTTTTCAGGGTTGTTGGTTGTGATTCGGAATGAAAGAAAAATAAACAAAAAAAAATTCTCAAATCAAATTGCGCAGTACTCCTGATTGAATTTTTTTGGATTCGAACCCTTGAATGTTCCTTAATTATTATTATTTTACATTCATCTTTAATTGTTACTTGATCTGATCTGGCTTAATTCAAACCATATTCTAAAGATTTATAAAATGAAGACCTTTTTTTTAAAATTTTATATCATTTATAAAATTTTTTATAAGGTCAGTCACACAACTAATAAAATTTTCAAAACTAATTTCAAACTATTTCCATAAAGTCCTTCAAAATAACCAAGTTATAATTTCTCCTATTAATTCTAAATACACACTCCTGTCGACACCGAAGGACAGAATTCTTTATTCATTATTCAAGGCTTTACTTCCATTAAGCATAATTTTTTTACTACTAAAAAGTCATGAAAAAAAAAAATTATTTTTGAACTGGCGAAATATCCACTGATTATGTAATCTGAATTCTATTTTCATCTCTTTCCTCTTTTTTCTTTCTTTTTGTGTGTGGATTTATAACAATTCATTTGTATACTTTAACGCCTCACTCTCATTCGACTTCTTTCCTTACTTTTCAATTTCTTTCTTTGTTTCGTGAACATTTTGACCTCATCACATATTAATATGTCGATAGACTCGAAAACTATCGTGGCAATGGACACACGAACTCGAAAGAAAAACGCAAAAAACTGTTTTTTTCCGCTTTTCCAAAAATAATCAGCATTTTTTTATTATTGATCTTTATTAGGAAACAAAACAACAAAAAAATGTGAATCGTAATATATGAGAGAAAAAGTTCATTGGAATAAATTCGAATATGATTGATTGATTGAATAGTGTCTGGTTGATTGACGACATATGGGTATTACTAATGATAAATTCCAATATTATTGTATGAATATTGCCTTCTGTATTTCTCAGTTATAGTGGTTTTATTGAAAAAATAAATATTTTATCAAAATAAACATTTGAAATTATTTTGACAATTGATTTTTAGATTAAAAATATGTTAAATGCAAAAAAATGGATAAGTCAAGAATGGATAAATATTAAGTTTTCAATTAATTTGTTGGGATTCGAACCTTTCACCAACAAGAGTCTTAAATAATAATTCTGACACGTCTTTACTGTTTGATGTATTTATACAATTTCAACTACAATTCCAATTCAGCATAATCAACTTATCATTAATAAGTTTCATCGTAAACCACCGAAAGCACAGAACCCCCAAAAAAGTATTGTGCTATTGAACTATGTCTTGAATATTTCATTGCACTACTTAAGTAAACTCTATCCAACAAACTTTTGAATTTTAAGTTTCTATACCGCTGCCGTTTCTAACAATCGTCATCATTTTTGTTATTTCTTCTCTTTTTGTGGTTTTCCCATAGCACATACAATGTTGAGGCTTGCTGAAGAAGTAAGATATAGCGAGAAAAAGAATTGTGGCTTTTCGTTTCTATTCATTTATTTTGAATGACTTGAAAGAAACAGAAATAAAGTATAAGTCATTGGCTAAAATATAATCATTGAATAATCTTCGATCTATGGTTTATGATTTTTTGATTTTTATCTGAAAGTTTGGATTTCTTTTTTTCTTTTTCTTCTTTGCGGCATGTCGGAATCATTTTATTTTCCTCATAAATGAAGTTTTTTTTTTTGTAGCGTTGTAGATAATTAGAGGTAGTTTGTTCTGTCTGGCTGATTTTAATAATGAATAAGGGTTTTCAGTTTAGAATTTTAGATCGAATGACCCCTATGAATACTTTGGTTCTCCCTCAAAGAATGTCTACAGCACAGTCTGCAATATCCTCCCATAAATCACAGGAATAACGCCGTCATAATTAATGTTTGTTGACATTTTTGCTCAGTCTCATTCAACGGAAGCGTTTCTAATATTTTTTATGACTTTCGCATTGCAATCTATAAGTAAGAGATAACAAATAAAGATGCATTAGGCATTTAATACTTTGAGTAAAGTGATGATATAAAAACATTTGTTCATCTGATCTCGCCTGATTTTCACTCATTTTATGCATCTCAGCCAACTTTTACTATTCATCCATTCAATTTTTTTTTATTAGCTTTACTCGTGTTCTTTTTATTTTTCTCTTTCGTTAATCTGTGTTTTTTTATGAATGAATATTACAATACAATGTTATTTCTTGTTTGTGTAGACACAGAGGCAGAAAAAAATATAAACACTGAAAAAAAATCGCGTTGAGCTTGACTTCCAATTTACATATAGTTGGAATTAGTAGGTGTACAATCTAATTTTAATAATCATTTGCATAATCATTGTTATTACGAATGAGTGTAAACAGTTTTGGAGAATTTACAATAATAATTATTCTTGTCGGATGATGACATAAAGCACTAATTGAGGATTGGACGCTTTATGACTTTTTCGAGACTCTTATGGTCAATTCAAGAATAACCTTTAATTTTAAGTCTGTTGAGTCAGACATTTCTATTTAAAAATGTCTTGACAAATGTTAAATAATACTTGAACGAATTGCAAACTTTATTGACAATCGTTAATTATATAACAACCTCAAACTGCCTCAGTGTCTACCCTCTATTATTCGAAAGAACTATTTTCATGCTTCTCATACCACAATTAAGCCCAATTAAGGTACAGAAAGTGAATGAAAAACAACAATTTGAAATAGTTCTATTGTTACGCTATTAAGTCATGAAACGATCCACATGATGATGATGAAAAAAACGTTTTTTAGTTCTTTGAACTCGTCTTGTGCCTTTACTAAATAGCATTTCGTAAAAAGAAGAAGAGAAGAAAAATCGTGAAGAAGAAGTTATGATGAAATTAAGTAAAATAAATCAGATTTTCTTCGTATAATCTGTGGATGTGGCGCTTAAATTGAGTTGAAACTTTGTCTTTAAATTTGAAGATTCGAACAAAAAGTTGGCGTAGAAACCGAGAGTAAAAACTTTAAAATTTTTAGGATCTGAACCTTCGAGTGATTAGAAATTCTTCTTGTTCTTTAATCAACTTTGACATTCATTGCAATTCAATTTTTGATGTTCAATTGCTAAAACCGCTACAGCTTCTTAAATATCTCCATTCCCATAAAAATTTTAACCATCAAACCTACTTTCTCAATTTCCCAAAATTAATCCTATTAAACTAAAAAAAATAATTGAAGCTTATCAAAGTAGCGAGCTTCTCATCAATTTTAAAGTGGCACAAAAAAATTTATATTGCGAAAATGCACATCATTTGCAGACGGCCTAGCTTTCGAGTTAAACTGTTGTTTCCATTCACACATAAAAGTGAATATACGAGAGCACTTAGTTCTGCAGAAATTGTACCAAAATACGCTCGAAAGATTTCGCCTTAAAAATTTTTTTGTTACATGTTTTTTACTTGATAAATATCCATAAATTAACTGAACATTGCTCTTCCTCGTTCCTAATTCATGAATTTTGCATTAATTCACTTTCTATATGTTTGTATTTAAATTAATTTCCTTCTCTTATTTTCTTTCTGTATCCAACAGGGCGATAAAAATAATGGGTACGAGGTGCTGTATCAAAACATGAAGCATGGCGTAACGGCTAGTAAGGAATTGATGGAATATTTTAAAGAGCGATCGAATCTCGATGAACACAATTCGAAGGTGCTTTTAAAGCTCGCTCACAAAGTGGGCTCGAGTGGTGCGAGTGGAACTTTTTCACCATTATTAATCATTCTAAAGACATCAGCGGAGCGTCTCTCAGAGCTTCATACGCAAATGATGCAAAAGACAACGGAACTTGTGAAAAATATTTTAAAATATGCCGATGAACTTCACAAGAAGCACAAAACGGTGAAGGAAGAGGAATCGAGTACACAAGATGCTGTACATCAAATGAAAGAGTCAACAACTGCTGTACAAAAGGCAAAGGATTTATATCAATCACGTTTACAAGAATTAGAAAAGTTACGTCGCGATAATGGCTCAGCGAAAGATATCGAAAAGGCTGAGACGAAACTCAAGAAGAACCAAGAAGAATACAAGAATTTGGCAGAGAAACATAATCCAATCAAACAAGAGTTCGAACAACGTATGGCAGCGACATGCAAGGTAAAGCTTCAAATTAAATATGTACATTTATGAAGGGCACTTTTTGTTTAAATATATTTTGAATTATGGCGGTTTATCTGTTGACTTTATAAGAGAATATTTACTTCCTATGAAGTTTTATTGAGCAACTGTTTCAACAATAATATTTGAAGTGGATGTAGGGCATTAGATGAGATGATAGCTACTATCTTAGATGATTCATTGCCTTATAGACTCAGTAACTAAAGGTCTTTGACTCCTCCGTACAATCTATCAAAGCAGTCAATTTGTAGCTTGCCCAGCATCTTATCCCCAATATATCTTGCGCGTGTCTCAATCAATAAGTTTGTCAGACATTCTTACCACATTACAACCGCACAAAACTTCCAATCGATCTCGCCAGAAAATCCTGAAATATTAATGCCATCTCTCATGACAATTTTCTTAATTTATCGTTGACAATAAAATTCTTTTACATCAATCTATATAAATCTCTCACTTTCTGTCACTTTTACATGCGCAGCGATTCCAAGATATTGAGGAAGCTCACCTTAAGCAAATGAAGGAGTTTATCATGATGTATATTGAGATTGTGCAGAATAATCATGATTTAGTAGGACAGGTGAGTGTAATGACATGTAGCACAAGTAGATAACATCCTCACATGATTATTTCGTCAACAGGTTCAATCAGACTTTAAACGTCAATTCTTAGACTTAACCGTTGATAAGTTATTAGAGCAGTTTGTTTTAAATAAATATACAGGACTTGAAAAGCCCGGTGAGTAGCTTTAACTATATGAAACTTAATTAGCAAGCAAAAACTTAATTTGAATGACTGTGTTCCTTATAAAAACTATGCCTTGATATGCGAATGATGTCCATTCCTAAATCCAATATTATCAATGTCGTTGATTTTTATTTTTCGATGTTTTTTATTTATTTTTTAACAAACTCAAAAAACCTTTTTTTTTGTTACTTACTCATTCCATTATGATGATACAATAGCATATTGATGAGAAAATGTAGGCAGAGTTGATAGTCGGCTTGCTTTTTTTGGTGTGCTTTAGTTTGAAACTTTGAATTGAAAGTTACGTGAGAAATTATAAAGAATTTGAGTTTTTGGCGGGAAAATTTTGGCTAGGATTGACCACCTCCTGACATTTGTATGAACTATCCATTTATAGATTGATTTGTGATGAAATGTGGTTCTTATGTCTCAGAATCATCACAACCGCTCAACTTTATGTGGATTAGATGAGTTTCGCAACCTCCTTGCAGAATATAGGACTCTAGAAGTCAGCTTAAGTGTTCCACAATTCTAAAGTAAATTAATTTCAATTCTAAGCTAGATTCCCAGCTAAGAATCACATTTGACCACAATCAAGCACTATATCACGCTCAATTGTCACCAAAATGTTTGTTCAAGATCACGCTTCATTGCCACATCTGATAGAAATCAGAGCTGATAGAAAGTAACCTTGTCAATCATTGAGAAACTTAAGTAGTGTAGGTCGTGATTATTATCATACGTGATTGATCACTTGCGCAAGTCATAATTAAGTAGTCACAAAAATTTACCACCAATTATCAACTCTGCGTCTACATTGCGGATAGAATGTGAAGAAAAACGATATTTTTTTTATTATTTCTCTTTTTTTTTCATCGCTTAAAATCTTTGGCATGAGTTTGAAGTTTTTATTTTTCTTTATTTTGTATTTTTCAATTTTTTTTTTCTTTTTACATGACTTATTTTTTGGCATTTAAATGAAACAAATTTTAATTTGTTTGTTGTGTCGCTTATAAAAAATAAATACACTAACAACATCAACTAAAAAAAATCAAAACAATAAAAAAAACATTGAAACAAAATAAATGTATGCGCATAACTGAAAAATAAAACAACCACAGCCAATATTGATGTGGAATTGAGTCCATCACAGACATCGCAAAATTTAATCGACACATCGGTGTCATCACCTGCAAACGATTCACATGGAATGACAATCAACACTATGATGAATCTAACATTTGAGACGCAACAAGTGCAACAACAACAACAACAGATAACAAGTGGTAAGAAAGAAACTTATTTGCTTAGCTGGTTTACATCATCGGCATCGACCACATCAGCGTCAATGAATAACACATCAGTTGTATCGGCAACAAGTTCATCATCAGCAATAACAGCCAGTCCACCGACAATAGCTCCACGATTTAATGCGAACGCAAATGAGTTTGAAAACTCACAACATGACGACTCGTCATCGCCAAGTATGAAAATTAATAATAAATTAAGTTATGGGGAAAAGTTTATAAGTAAATTTAATAAAAACGGTAACAAAGCAACAACATCGTCGGAACATCAAAATAGTGATCAAATGACGAGTACAGCGGGAGTGTCTAAACATGAACAGCAACAAAAATCTTCCCGTCGCACTACTTCCCTTTTAAATCTCTTCATGTCCAATTCCCAGGGTAACATTGATTACATTTTACAAAGAACATACATTTGCATACATTTCTATTCTCTATCTGCTATAATCATTTATGGATGAAGAAACTAAGACAGTACAAAAGACTTAATATTCTGTTTTTCATATCCTAGTCTGTTTCTTACTTTATTGTTTTTGTCATTTTCCTCTTTTTCATTAAATTTCATGTGCATTTCTTCTGGTGTGAAAATGTGTCACTTTTGGAGGTGTCGCCAGGAATTTTCGAAAGGGGTTATGAAAAGATGAACTGACGTGGCTTTAGTACTTCGGTACCTAATTATTGCAATTCTGATACAAGGATCACTGGTTTGAGAGTCGGTATGGGAAATTTTATGTTTGTCCTTTTTCAAGTCTTTCTTTGTTGGCTACGGGCAGAAATGTCAGCAAAGGATTATTTCGGATCCCACCATATCCTATATATTGTGCGTATCCTTGTCATATTAGCAACACTCTTTGTAGTAGTTTGAGAGATCTCGATCTCTAGTAGGAATCGAACACACGTCCTCACAAAAGTGAGTTACAGATATCTCGGTCTATTACTTAACCACTCGCGCACTTGCAGATTCGCCTATTTATGCCATCGGCTGCTAAAAAGTATTCTTTTTGGAAGTTTTCAATAGGTTGCATCATTTTTAAGCAACTTAAGCTTCTCTGCAAAAATTATCAATACAACTGATCATTTACAGCACCAAGAAATGCACATGAATCATCAGAACTATTGGTGAAGTCTTAACTTCTAGAAAAAAAAAATCATAAATCAGCAACTTATGAGGAACTTATGCTTGAAGATGCATTGCAACAAAAACGTTTTGCTAACTCATATTTCATCTTGCAACTAAGCTTGTGCTGATTATTCCATTCTTTAATTCCTTAATTTTTTTATTTCCTAATTTTAAAAAAGCACAAAGTATGAAAGTAAAATTTATTAGAAGTAGATTAAAGCAAAAAAAACTATCTTAAAACATGCATAAAATTACAGGAAATCGTGAGAGTCGTGATAATATTAGTTCCTCAGTTATATCAGCTCCAACAAGTCCTGTTGAGCAAACGCCTTTGAAACTTTCTGCTAATATTGGCCGTAATCCGTTGCGAGGATCAAAATGTAATTTTTTTTTAAATGTGTCTAAACTTTTTTACTTTTTCTTGATTCCTTTTATTTTCATTTTATTTATATGGTTTGGTGTTCAGAGATTAATTGATTGATGATAATTGGAAGCAAATTTGTTATTTGAGAATGTAAAGAAATTCTTTATTATTAATTTAGTGAAGGTGGAAGAAATTAATTTGTTACTTCATGCTACAATGTAATATTCACAAAAGATGATGCCTTATCAAGTTTTCTTCTTAAATATATAATGCGTATATGATTATGTGTAACTGCGTATCGTGTTTAAAAGTCATTACGTCTTAGAAATGAAAATGAATTTCAAAGCTTTATCTTACAATTCACAAGCTTTATAGCATCCTCAAGGGTGAAAGTTGTCTTCATTATAAAGAATTAGGTTCAAAATGTTTATGAATAAATTTAAAATTCTGAAGGAAGTTATCATTCCAATCTATAAGATGTGTTTATTCGTAACATAAGCTTTTTTGACATTAGAGGAATTAAACTTTCAAAATTGTTGATGTTTATCGTTGCAACAATGCTTCTAGAAACTTTAAGCGCTATACTAGCTCAGTATACAGCGCATAATTTTTAACTAACAGTTGTGTGTACAACAGGCAATTAAAAACTCCTTAAACCTTAGAACTAGTGTTTGTTCCAATATTACAGTAAGTTTCAATATCTACAATTATCTAAAATTCTTAAAAATCACCATTCTGATGTTGGGATTTGAACCCTGAATTAATACACAGGCTTGTCAAGCCCTCCAAATGACGCACATCCCTACAAATCTACTATCGCGATTCTTGATTAATAAACAAATCAAAAGTCTGACGTAAATTCCTAATCGTCATTTTATTCTCAGAAACAAAGTACCACCTTATAAGTGCAACCCTTTGCAACCGATCTCTCACTTCGAACTGAAATCAATCAGTCAACTTTCGTAAACTTTTAAAAGGGAAGATTAAGGCGCTAAGAAATTGTAAAGTAAAAATCATAACAGGTTCAAGCATGATTTTCCATGACATAGATTAGTAAATAAATATACTGCGATGACTCAAAACATTTTAAAATTAGAAGATGAGTGAGATTTGATAGTAAATTGTCGATTATTGAAATTCTATTTTGTAGCTACTATAATACTTCTAAGGAATACGATTTAACATACTTTAGATAGCTGAAAAACAACAATTTTTGGTCAAAAAAATATTTGATGAAGAGATTAACGTCATTTGTATATATAATATATATAAACTTAAGCGTGCGAAAATTATTGGATCTAATAAAAATTCTTCTCATGTCTCATTTTCAAAACAGTCCTAAAGAATAAAAGTTTGTTTAATAAATTTACTAAGTTTATGGAATTTAGAATCGATTTTTGAGTCGTAAAAATTGGAATTTATTGCTTAACTTTCTGTAAACTTGAATAATCAAGAGATTGTCTGCTAGAACTTTAACGAAATCTTAATTTAAATCTATAAAGCTTGATACAGAAATTATAATCAGTGTTTTACATGTTGTGAGGTAGACTAAGAGATCTACATTATTAATTTAAAGGTTTTATAGCCCAGAATGGAACTTAACTCCGAATTAGGAATTTCTTCGAAAATCAACAGAACATTTACGCACTCTACTCACAAAAGGCTTTCAATCTAGCTAATTCTACATTTGTTCAGGTCATTGACATCAAGGTGCTAATTGACGTACTTTTTTGTCAATATTTTCATCCATGTGAATCTTTGTCTACAAGATTATTTTTACAACCTAGAAAGCATATTCCTTTTTAATCAAATTATGAATCCTCAATAGATCCATAAATTAAAATAATTAAAAGTGTTTAAAAACAGTCGATGCTTCAATTCGCACGTTCTTTATCATTTAATTATTGTGCTTATGTAAATTTAATTCTATAAATTGTCGATTAACTGTCAAGTGACGCAAGAAAATGTTTATGAATAAAAAAATAAAAAGTTCATAGACTTGATAATCTTTAATGTAAATACTGGACAATGTATTTCAAATAAAAGGATTATTTTGGTTTTAATACAGTTTATTATGAGTTATGTAGGATTGATAAAATGTATTATTTTAAGTAATCACGGATTGCCCAGACGTTATCTGGTTGTTTGTTTGGAAGTTTACTGCGTCACAGTATCCAAGCTACGACTCAGACTAGGCTAGACATGTTTCTATAACAGTAAATTTATTATTTTGCGTCAGATCTGCTCTAGACCATGCAAATTCTCAGATTGCAACATTATTGCTGAACAGTTTACTTAATCCACGTCGGTAAACGTCAAATTGCCAATCATGATTCAGCTACATCTCGAAAATGTATTACATCTACATTCTTTGATCGAATCAAAAACTAACTTGGGGATTGTTTATAAATGACGTACAAAAATTGCAATCATTTTTCAAAAGCAAGTACTAGAATTCCAAGAAATTCTATTGTTTTAAAGCTCTTTGATCCTGTTACGTCATTTATGGACGACCCCTTATCGAGTCAATCTTAATAATAACTTCACAATTTCTAGGAATTCTTGTCTGACTTCCTGTCACACAAAAACAGCCTTGTGAACAATTTAACAAGTTTCTTATCATACTTAAGTAATTACACAGAAATTTGTCGCTCGAAATTCTCGAAATGTCTGCAAGACATCATCAAGCTATGATTAATCTCTGAACTATTTCCTATGATGAAGTATTTGTGCATGATTAAACATTTGTTTTTACCTCTTAACTTATTTTTTCCCAGAACTATTTACTTAAAACTTAACTTTTTTAAAGCAAAACGTTTCCAAAGACGGCACACGCAATAGAAATGAAATTAAAATCGATAACAAAAATTAATTAAATAGATTTGATCACAAATTGGACACACATTAAAAACACACATGAACACGTTTAGAAGCGAAATTCCATTTTCGTTAAATTCATTATTTTTATTTTGCTGACACTGCGATCGTCGTGTTTTGGAAGAAGAAGACAATTTTTATTTTATTTCATTATATTGGGTTGAGAAAGTTAATTTCTGTGTTTTTAAGGGATTCTCTACTTTCTCTCTTTTAAAACTCAGTCCTACAATTATCTAGATTTTTTTGTCAAATTAGTCACAATTCAATACTTTACCAAAAAAAAAAAAAAAATTCAAATAAAATTTTCATAACAATGAGATTTGATGGGAATTGAACCCAAGCCCTTATAAAGGCGATTTTTGTTTGCTTACTCGGTGGTTTTTGGCAATCGTCTACTAAGATAGTTACCACATTTTGGCAATTTGTTATTCAGACTAGACCTATTCAACACTAAGTCATATCTATAAGTCTCAATACTCAAGATAAAACTATAATTAAGGCGTATAGAACAATAAGGTTAGAAAACCTCACAAAAGCTAAAGAACCACCAGCAAAAATTTCCAAGAATTTTTATTTACTTCACAAAATAATCAACTTAGATAAGGAAAATCCTGCTAGATTAGTTCCAATTGCCAAGGCCATAACCCTGACAGTATATTCACTTATCGCACCATATTCCACACGATAATAATCATATCTTATCAGACGATACGTTCAATAGTAAAGATCATCTACCTAGTTCTAAAATATTACATTTTCTCTGCTTGCAAGCTGATACAGCTCCAATGCACCTTCATGATAGTAAATTTAAACACAGAAATTATTTTTCTCACCTCATTACATTATCTCGTGCGCATAAAATTTAAAACGCAATCTAGTAAGAGCCTTATTAAAACTTATCTATAATCAATATTTACCAGATGGTCTATCCAATGATTGCGTTTTAAATTTTATACTGCTTTTAGTTCTTTTTAAAATTGTGAAAGTTTTTCATGTTCCTTTACCATTTCCTTTAATTAGATTACATCCTTTACATTTTCATTATTTTATTTTTTTTTTTCTTTAGTAGTGGGCGGGAAGTATTTTTGATTTATTGTTTATCCATTTATGCTTTTTATTTTCATGATTTAATAAAAAAAAAATCAGATTGAATTGTTGCTCTTGTGATGCTTTCTTACCATAAAGTCACCCAAGAGGCACAACTTAGTCGTCTGGACATCATAATAGCGACATTATGGTGTCTTAAGTGTATCCATGCAATACCATAATGTATGACAAGGTTATACCTGATTACCAAACCCTTAATGTCACTATTAAGGATGTCTAACGACAGTGTGTCACTCGGGACAGTCAGATAGATTATAAATATGCAGCACGCGAGCACTTTTTCATCACAAATTCAATTAGAGTCTTCATTGGCTTCACATGTTGTTGATGAAAACTGAATCGCATAGCACAAACTATTTCCCTTGACACTGACCCAATTATATGTAGATATATATTTTTTTTTTGCAATGCTTGCTATTTAGTTTCCTCATTCTTTTCTATGTCTACAAGCTTTGTCTCTCACTCACTCACTTATATTTTGTTTTGTGCCTCCTCTTGCCCATAAATATTATTTGTGGTGTTGGTTTTGATTGCTTATGCAATATTTATTCTGCAATTTCACATCTGATGTTTGTGTAAAATGTAGGCAAACATGTGCGCTTTTATTTATTTTTGTACTTTGCTCTCGAATTTGTTTTTGTGAAAAAAATAATTTAAATAGAAAATATTTTATTTATTCTCTTATGTGTAAGCTTTTTTAGGTGGCTGGTCTGTCGATAATGCAAAGTAGATGTGTTTTTTATGCAAAATAACATTTTTTTTACTTAAGCTTTTTAATTGATTAATCATTTTTTTTTTAAATGTATTATGTCACACACATGTTTGTTTGATGTGATAACTTTTTATGTAAATAGATTAAGGCAGAGATCGAAGTTGATTGAAATGAGAAGGTATATAAAAAGTGGATTTTTTTTGTAATTTATTATATTTCTGACCCCCCCCCCCCTCCCCCCATCATTCTCAATTTTTTTTGCATTTAAAAAGCTTACTAGTCACCAAGATATATAGATGGGCTCATACAGAGTATACTTGACCATACTCGACCATACTATTTTTTGTGTACTTATACAAACAAAAATTTTTAAAATTTTCTATTTTCAAGTTTTCATTTAAATATCGACAGATGCAACAACATTTGTCTTAAGTCAGTTTCTTTAAATTATAGCAAAGCATTTGCAATACTCCTGTATCAACAAAACTTAACAGAAAGTTGAAAATTTTGCAAAACAAAAATTAAAAATTTTCTTTTATAGTGTTAGTGTTTTTAGAAAATTCAAATTTTTGACGTTTAAAAACTGCGATATTTTTGTATGAGCACATCTATATATCTTGCTAGTCACTTATAATGTTTTTAATGAAATTTTCTGACACATAATTTGGGAGTCGTTCTCTTATGACGTCCAAAATTAAGGGTCATTTTTCAAAAAAGAACAATGGATTTCCAAGAATTTCTATTGCTCTTTTCTTGCATGCCCCCCCCCCCTCCCTGGACGACATAAGTGAACGCCCCATTGTATTATTATTTATAGGGGTTTCTCTCCCTTCTTTGAAAGCAGCCCTGATTCCCTGTGTTTAAAAGCACCCAATCTTAAAAACTATCACCCCCTTACCCCCTCCACTCCTCCAAGAGAACACTTGTTTATAGCTGTGCTGCCCAAACTTTTTGAGTCACGGCACACACCTTAAAGGCAAGTCATTTTCAACTCGTGCCGCAGCACACAGTTTGAACCACTCTGGTATATAGGGAGGGGAGTCTGATATTTTGTGACAATTCAAATATGGAATTATTTTCCACGTAGAAAATTTGTGTCAGGGGGGGGGGGGGGGGTCGACATACAAATCCAGATTTTGACTTTATATAATAAATTAATAGCCCCAAACCAAAATAAGCAATTTTTAATTCCTACGGAAGCATAATCGTTCCAAAATTTTAATTAAAATTCCATGTCCTATCAATCTCATAATATGAGCTTTATAATCTTATTAAAGACTTATCTGATTAAGCACATTTCTCCAAAAAAATATAATCATACCGTCAATCAACTTCAATATCTGCCCAGCTGACCATGTGAAGGGAGAGAAACATTTAATTTATAATTTTCTTTCTCGCACACACGAAACATTCACAAAATAAAAAATGCAAAACAGTTTCTGGATTTTTGCGGAGTAGACGTGATAAAAAGCCGTCAAAAAAGAAAGATAAGAAGAAGAAAGATGGCGAAACGAATAGCACGAAAGAGGAAGCTAAATCTGACGGGTAAGATGATACTTTATTTATTCATGTCATATGTTGCAGTGCTGCTGCTGATGCCGCTTATTTTTTTGCTAATTAAATTTCACAATTTCCTTTTTTCTTTCTTCATGCTGTCTGCGTTTATGTTATCGTAGAGAAGAGAAAGATGATACGTTGTCTGCAATATCAGGTGGTTCACTGAAACCAGAAATATCTGGACATCCAACAACAACATCCAATGCTACGGTTACAACGCCAACACTTACGGCATCTTCAATTACGGGAAATACAGTTCCAACTGCCACGCCCGAGGTCGATGAGGACGAATACAGTGTTAAGCCACAAGATAATTCATGGAATAAGAATACATCGCCACAGAAAAGTAATTAAATGAGTCATTTTTAGCGCATTTTCTTTATAGTCAATGAATTCATGCAGTCGCCATTGAGTCTGTATAAATAAGACATGATTGTTTTGTCATCGAGATGAGATGTAGAAAGTGTGTGAGGCAATTTATCATGAAGTTCGATATTTAAGCATTTTGTAGACATAGGGATGAGGTTGTGCTATAAGGAATGGATGTTGGGAAGTTGCCTCGTCATGTTAAATGAGTTATAAAAGATTAGAACCTAAACTTTAAGGTCTGTAGTAGTAAATGATATCAAATGAGACACTTCCCATCCAAGTTCATTGACATTCCAGCATAGAATGATGACAATTTGAATTTAGTTTACGATTCCGTGCGATACAGTTTGTTATAAGCAATAAAACATTAGAGACATGCCGAAAAATCACATAATATGCTGCAAGGGCGTAGCCAGGAATTTGAAGAGGAGGGGGGGGGGGGGGGGGGCATTTTAGATGGAAAACTTTTAGGGGGAGGGGGGTGGTTTTTTCGAGTTTTTCATAAAAACTAGCAAAATGAATAAATTTCTCAAGACGAAGGGGGATTTGTCCCCCAAATCCCCCACCCCTGGCTACGCGCCTGATATGCTGACAAAGGAAACATTGATAAATGACGTCAAACATGTAAGGGGTTTATGATGGTTCAATCTTACTTCTCACAAATTTTGTGACAAGAGGTTTAAAAATCATGTTTTTGACGTCATTTATGAACAGTCCCCAATATCATAAACGAAAAAAATTATATGTCATAATATATCATAACTCGTGAGATCTACGACACAATATAATATACTAGTTTCATGCAATCGAAATAAAAAGGACGAATAATCCAATAAAAGCTAGCAAAATGTGGTTCAATCCAAGTAAATTCCAATCTTAATCATTATTAATTAAGAGAATGCGCTACTCTTGATCTTACTCTAATTCCATATTCAGACACTAACGATACATTTCTCATCGTCTACTTTTTTTTTAGATAAATTTTATTCGAGTTCCGATAGCGATAGTGACGATGAAATTGAAAGGAAAATTCATGTTGAAATTAAGCCACTTAATAACGGAACAGCTCCAATTTCAGCGTCTGTTGATGAGCTACGAGCAACTGTCGAGAATTTATCGCTTTCTCCAATCGGTGCTTTATCGGTAATACATTTTTGTTCCTCTTACTTATTATTTTTTTTGTGCTTTAATTTTTGCCTATTGCTTCTCCATAATTACTTTTATTTCTCACTCTTGAGCTTTTTATTGGTATCAGTTATACTCATTAATTTCATTAATCTCTATAATGATATCAGATGTGTTGAAAAGCCGACTGAATTTTGTTGGTATGGACGCGATTTTGGAGAAACTAGAATGGCTTTGATTTAACTTTGGTTTTTTGACTTTTGAATTGTAAAGACTTTAAACATTTCAAATTTTTAACGTCTTTGAAATTTTTGAATTTTTATACAACTTGAAGTTAGCTGCAAATGCACAAAATAATTTTCAAAAATCAAATTCCAACGAAGTTTTACAAAGTCGCGTCCATAAAATGAGAACTGGATGTTACTTCTCATTAACCATGCCTCTTGACGTCAATAAAAATTCCTTTTGAATCAAGTCATGCCAAAAGTGAGCAATAAAATCCAGTTCTTTAGTAAATATCATTCCATATGACATCACATTTTTCTAATCTATTGCATATCCATGCCATGTTTTTCTTTTTCTTTTTTATCTTTCATGTATTTCCTTCTGTCATGTTTCGGTCAACTTGTTTCTTTTACTTGACTAACAAATTCTTTTATCAAAATAACATAAAAAAATAAAAATTAATGTTGGTGTGTGTGCTGAAATTCCTATTTGCAAAAATGCTAAACTAAAAAAAATATAAAAGAATTTGAATTCGTTCAAAGAGCGAAGAAGTAATTCGCAGAACGAAAATGATCGGATGAAGAGATCTCAATCAATGTCACAGCAAATGGCTGATAAGGCAAATAGTGACGTTTTGAGTCTTAATCATGTTTTTCAGCAACACCACCAGAGTCCGATAGCATCGAATGCCAGCACACCAACAACAGCTCATCCATATGCGCCTTTGCAGAGTCCAACACTGTCGATGACGAACAATTCTGCTATGTAAGTTTAACGGGTCCTGAAAATTTAAAATTTTAACGGTTATCAAAAATTCAAATCAAATCTTTTCAAAATTTTAACGGTTTTTTGCTTTCAATTCCAGCAATCGATATGCAGATCTCGACATTTTCTCAGAAGTGGGTGACATTTCATCAGCACCAGCATCAGCTAATTTATCGAAACTCAATCGTCAAATTCCAACTCCAAACTCGTCAATTGCAATTCCAAGACCACCATCAAGGCGCTCAGAACAAATTCGAGCGGGCCGTGTATCGCCGGCTATGGCTCGAGCTGATAGTGTAGGAAGTTTAGAGTTTAGAGCAACAGTTAGTGCTAATTTAGGCAGTCGTGGACCATCACCATTAACTATAGGCATGAGCGATACAATACCACTTGCAATAGCTTTCCATGAGATTATTCATGCATATTTTAAGTATGGAAATTAGACAAGTCCAAGTTTTTTGTGTTTTATGTTAATTTTTTGTGTTTACAGAGGAAGTGATGAATCTCGTTGTCAAGTAAAAATGTCTGGTGATATGATGCTGTCATTTCCAGCTGGAATTGTGAATGTACTCGCTAATAATCCAAACCCAGCTAAATTATGCTTCCGTATTAAGAACGTTCAGAATCTCGAAAATATTTTGCCAAATAAGCAACTCATTAATGTGTAAGTAACGGAATTTTGACATTTAAATTTTAACGGTTTTTGAAATTTTGAACTTAAACTTGGTTCAAAATTTTTATTCAACTTCCAAAAACCCGCTAAGGGGCCGTTCACTTATTACGTTCGCATTTTAGGGGGGAATGGGGGTTTGAAAAATTGGGTCAAGAAGAATTCTTTTAAAAAAAGTTCACGAAAAAAATTTGAATTATGAACGTTCAGGGGGGGGGGGGGGGGGGGGGGTTGTGAGTTGTAACATGTTGTAACAAGGGGGAGGGGGGGGGGGGGTGAAAAAAGACGGTTTTTTGCGTAACGTAATAAGTGAACGGCCCCTAATATATCTTATGATTTAATATCGTTAATTGCAGTGACAAGTCAGCGTCAAATACGGTACTAGAGTTCAACATGCCAGCTTTAACACTCCTCCTTCGTCGTCAGTCCGAACAAAATCCAACAGCTTCATACTTTAATGTGGATATTTTGAAATACACAATTAAAAGTAAAACTGGTGCTCAATCCTGCCCATTTCAACTGGTTTCATATTGGAAATGTGAACCATCGCATACGGATATTAAGATTGATTATAAATACAATAATCATGCAATGGCTTCTGCATCACCATTATTGAATGTGTCGATATCGGTTCCAGTTGATGGTGGCGTTCGTAATGTGCAATCTAAGCCTCACTCAGCATGGTTAGTTTTCTTGTTATTCTCAATTAATTGACATGTCACTTTATAATATTCTACTTTCATCAAGCAGGTTGGGTGAATCTAATAAGCTCGTTTGGAACTTTACTGATATTTCGCAACATTCTGATAATGGCGGCATTGATACGCTAAGGGCGCGACTAGAAGTCTCAAATGGTCCATCAACACCATCAATTCTTACAACACAATTTAATTGTGAAGGAACGACATTGTCGGGAATTGATTTTGAATTAACTGGTACTGGATATAGGATATCACTGGTTAAACGAAGATTTGTTGCTGGTAAGAAATTTTTATGGACTTAACGGTTTTGTAAAATTTAAACTTTGTACAAAAACCATTTTGAGTATTAAAGTCTATTAAAGCTGGACTCCTTTCATTCATCCTTTAGGTAAATATATCTGTGAAGGAGACGGTATTAGGAACATTAAAACACCAACACCTCCATCAGTAACATCGCCGAGTTTACGTAAACACCTCCATCAGTAACATCGCCGAGTTTACGTACGGGATAGCAAAAACTTACCGTAAATCCAAATGTATTCTTATTCTAAATAAATATAAAAATAAGAAAAAGGTCGTTATTAAGCAAACAAGACGAGGATGGACGTTACGAGAGGAACCTGCAGATATATTAAAAAGAGAGAAATTTTCGAGTGCCTATTAAAATAACGAATTTTAAAATTTCGAAACTTCATTTTTACGAACTCTCATTTTTACGACCATATCATTTTTACGAAAAATCATTTTTTCGACTTTTTTATAAATTTCAAATTTTAAAATGTCGTTAATTTTATCACGTGTTCTCTTCAATAATAAATCTGCAAAAAAAAGAATAATAGAACAAATGTTTTTAAATGTATGGAATTAAAATGTATATTTTATTCAATATCACATTTCATGGACTATATGTGTATGTTTAAAGGAGTAACAAACACAATTAAGCTCTTAAATCATTTTTGACTCCTGCAATAGCCTTTGATGTTTCAACTCGTGGCACGGATTTTCAACGGTTCAGGATTGATTTAATGGAATTCTCTGTCTTTTCAAAACCTGGCATTCTATGCTTTTGTGGCTTTCCAGCCTTTGTGGCTTTCCAGGTTTTGAAAAGACAGAGAATTCCATTAAATCAATCCTGAATCGTTGAAAATCCGTGCCACGAGTTGAAACATCAAAGGCTATTGCAGGAGTCAAAAATGATTTAAGAGCTTAATTGTGTTTGTTACTCCTTTAAACATACACATATAGTCCATGAAATGTGATATTGAATAAAATATACAGTTTTAATTCCATACATTTAAAAACATTTGTTCTATTATTCTTTTTTTTGCAGATTTATTATTGAAGAGAACACGTGATGAAATTAACGACATTTTAAAATTTGAAATTTATAAAAAAGTCGAAAAAATGATTTTTCGTAAAAATGATATGGTCGTAAAAATGAGAGTTCGTAAAAATGAAGTTTCGAAATTTTAAAATTCGTTATTTTAATAGGCACTCGAAATTTTCATTTATTTTTATTTTATTATTATTTTTGAATGTTATCTTTATTTCTATTATGTATATTCACAAAACACAATACACTACGCTTCTACTATTCAAAAAAACAAACTATATATTAATTAATGTTTATTTTTCCTCAAAAAATCGATGAGATGGAAATGACGAGAATGCATACATTTTATAAAAGGTGACAAATCCTAGATAAACGAGCAATTAGTTAAATAGATTTTAAATTAATAGATGAAATTTTTGAGATGGCGCGCATTTACAGCATAAATATTGAGTATGTTGTGATTTTTTCTATCTATGAGAAAAATCTCAATTTAAGTATGACGAAAATATAGCTAAGATTAAACATTATAGAGCTTTAATATTTTAACTTTATCAGCGAAGCATTTTTTTAGAATTGGAAGTTTTAGATTCAAATTTGTTGAAGGTGAAGATCACTGCTTTTTGGAAAATCATGTATCAACGGAAATTAAAAATTTAAATTTTAACGGTTTTCAAAAATTCAAGTTTTTTGACGAAAATTTCGTTGAAAATTTAAATTTTGAATGTCAGTTAAAAATTCAAATTCTGAACATCCGTTGAATAATTTTTCATCTATAAATCTGGTTTTAACCTGAATTCTGAGACCCCCAAAACTTATTTGAATCCAAATTTCGTCAATCATCAAAAAAAGTCACAGAAGAAAATAAAATTAGTGAAAAAGTAAATCAATAATCATGATTGTTGTCCTGTGAAAGAGGGGCAGATAATATTTATATTCAGCTTATGACATGCATTGCTGCATTTTTAATTCAACTGCACTGAAAATACAACAAAAGTTATTTTATTCCATCCTCAACTTCACAATTTAAATCCTTTGTCTTGCCTAATTTCTCAATCTTAATCCTGTCGATATCCAGCACATCCCACCTTCACCCCTCTTTCCACACAACAATCAAAACTATAACAAAGACAGTAAATTTAAATGTTAAGCGCCTATCCGCCTATAAACTATATAACTTCATATAGACCACGTTCCATACAAATTAAAACAGTTTTGAAGGGATGAAAATAAAAATTACGGAAACAACTTCTTTAGAAATAAAAAAAAAATAACTAAATTAAAACGATTTGTTGACATTAGTCGTTCATCTCATAACAATAAAATGCGGTACTAAAAATACAGCAGCACTGTAGGATCATTAAAAAAAATTGAATAAAGAAAAAATTTGAGATAATGAAATTTGGTAAATTTGTTTTATTGTTCCTTAATTTTGATGTTATTGCGTCCTTTAATGGTTATGAGAGTCATATTGTTCATGCTTATTAGGTTTACAGCAAGTTAAAGTTGTCTACTTGAAGGATGGGTGTGCTGGGAAATGACAACTTAGGACCTAGTTAAAGTTACGTCTAAAAAAGATTATGAAGCACATCAAAGAAGTAAGCAAGCACAGGATGACATCTAATTTTGAAGAATAAGGCTTACTTTCACTGATTTTCGAACCAGTTCCAAAGAACATATCAAAAATTAATTAATTTAATGCACGTGCAGTCCTCGGAAGACACAAATTCCAAAAAGAGGTCATCAGAAGTTTCCTGACCCACAAAAAAATCAATAATCATCAAGTCACGTTTCAGTCAATCTTCACAACATCTTGTACCTGGTTAAATATTCATGAGAACTTCCTTATCTTATAGCAATAGTCTTCCAGTCTTTCCAAAAGAACTGTCCTCATTTGCTGGCAGAGCTTCAAAAGAGTCAGTCAAAAACTTTAAAAGCTATAAATTTAGAAAATGTCTGCAATTAGCTTGACTCCTTGCACTTATTTTAACATCAAATTTGAGAACAATCCAGCTGGAGTTTTTAATCCTGGAGATACAATAAATGGTAAGATATTATTATTTCTAGTTCTAGTGATTATTAAGGCTGTAAATTCTAGGAATTGTCGAGCTGTACGTTGAGAAAAGAATCAAAAAGACCAAAGGTAAGCACATCCAAAAATCCATCAAAATTCAAACTTTAAACTTAATTTTCAGGCCTCAAACTTGAAGTCACAGGAGTCGCCAACTGTGCATGGACCAAAAGAAAAATCTACAAAACAGTTAAGTATGATGGAACCCAAAAGTTCATGGAACACGTCAGCCATTTTTTTGGAAGAGTCGATGGCGCGGCAATTGAAGTTTCCGTTGGAGTTCATTTGTATAAATTTTCCTGTGTCATTCCAACGATCGCTGTCTCATCCTATGAAGGAATTAATGGAAGTATAAAATACAGCGTAAAAGTCACACTTGACATCCCATTCATGCGTGACATTGTGTTCGAAAAGCCATTCACAATAGTCAGGATTGAGAATTTAAATGATTTTCCGTGGCTGCGCTGTAAGAGTGACTCGGAAACAGATGTTGGCGATGGAATTGATTGTTGTGAGACAATGCCGCTTGTTGTGTCGATGAAAATAAGCAAATCAGGTTTTGTTGCTGGCGAGGAGGTTAAAATAAGAATAGAGGCATGCAATCAAGGTCCATCAAAGTATTCAAAGACAACATTAACATTATTTCGGACCGAGACATGCACAAGTCAATTTCCAATCATATCCACAAAAAAGTCATACTTTCCAGTTGCTGCAACTTCAACCAAATCCATCAAGCCATTTGAAACGACATTCTTTGAGCATTCACTGATGATTCCAACTGAAATTCATGGAAGTAGTCCAATTACAAGCGAGACTGTAAGAATCGGATATATCCTTAGATTTTGTACGAAGTCCAACAGAAGGACAACAGTGAAGACTGATATTTCTGTTTTTATTGGACACACACCGTTTGCCGAGAAGATTGATGATGATAAGGATGAATGTGATAAGCATTCGGAGCCGGTGAAGGTGATTAATGGAAGGAGGAGTAATGGAGGTGAGGTTGAACTGGTTTGGGAACATGAAGTGTACCGAATAGCACAAGTCGTGATAGTACTAAGCAGGCGTGACTGTGTCATAGTGTTGGACTCAAATCGAATCCAGCATCATGATAGACCAGTGCTGTCTAAACTGTGTGCCGCGGCACACTGGAGTGCCATAGAAATTTTTTGTAACTGACACGAGCCGCATGCTGTGTGCGACTTTGGTAATGGCTTACCCCTAAAGTGTGTCGGGGTTCAAAAAAGTTTGAACAACACTGTGTTACAGCTAGGTTAGCTTGTTGCCAGATTTCTATTCAATTAACCAACTTGTGCTACTCGGGTGTATCTTTATTGGATACGAATACCCTTAAAATGACATTTTGAAAATTCCTTTTCCAGCAGAACTTACCAAAAAATCGGAACTAATCTAAAGCTTCAATTACCTAATTAGCATATTTATTTCGGAGCGTTAATTACATTTGGAAGTATGCAGCACGTTTTTCTGATGTTTTTTTTTCACTCACAGCAGTAACTGTTTACTATCTTCTTCACTTTCCTCTAAAATCCCATTGATAAACACACAGCAACGTGTGAGTACGTACAATTTGTAATCAGAGACTAAGTTTGAGAGCGTAAAGAGAGCGTTAAGTACGTGATGTATTGATAAACAATTCTATATTTTCAGTTTGAGTGTCGACATCGACTTGGAAACATGTGAATTTTTAAACTTGTCGTATTTTTTTTTGTGCTGATTATTTATCTGATATTTGCTGATTATTTACTGATAAATTATACAAAAAAAAATAATAGAAACTTTCCCAGCATGGTTGTGAATTGTGAAGTGAAATTTGACAACAATCCAAATGCAATATTTTTTGCTGGGCAAGTAAGTGCAGCATTTGATGTTGGAAGTGATCTAAAGTTTATTTTTGAGGAACTTGCTTGGGGATCGTTCACTTATGACGTCCGAAATTAACGGTCATTTTTCAAAAAAGAACAATGGATTTCTAGGAACTTATATTGATCTTTTCTTGCTGAACCCCCCCCCCCCCCCCCCGGACGTCATAAGTGAACGGCCCCTTGTTTATTTAGCCGAAATTGTCGTTACTTTTGGGTTTGGAGTTGCAAAGGCTATAGAAGTTAATGTGACTAGTATGTTGTGAATTAGTGGATCTAGATGACTTCCTTTCATCATATTGTGCTTGTGGATTGTGACTAGGAGTGTTGTTTAATTCCTAATGACATATTTGAGTCTATATAGTGCACACAGCTTATTAAATGGTTCTGGGATCAGTTTCTAAGGATACTTAAAGCAATCAACTCTGAGGACAGCCATCATTCTTACTCCAGAGTTTACAGCTATAGATCAGGCAAGCTATAGATCTAAGCCATGACCAAGGGAGCACAGAGCATGCGGCTTGCGTCATTACCAAAAATCTTCTACGGCACACTTGTGTGCCGCAGCACACAGTTTGGACATCACTGCTATTGACGCTAGTTATAAGTAGCAACTGCTGATTTAAGACATAGCATCTATCATTAGAACTGTCGACTAAGGGTCCGTTCACTTATAACGTTACGCAAAAATACGACCCCCCTTTTCACCCCCTCCTCCCCTTGTTACAATATGTTACAACTCACAACCCCCCCCCCCCCCCCCCCTGAACGTTCATAATTTATTTTATCATTAAAAGGTGAAAAATTTAAAAAACAAATGTTTTTGGGATGAATTTGTAAACAAATTTTTTTCGTGAACTTTTTTTTAAGACAGACGACAGTTAGAACGTTACATATTTCTTGACACCCCCCCCCTATGTAACATTTTGTTACAATTTTTCAAACCCCCCCTCCCTCCTAAAATGCGAACGTAATAAGTGAACGGCCCCTAACTCAAGGAGATGGGGATGGAATTTTTTTTCTTTCGGCTGTTCACATATTTTAGGGGAGAAGGTAGGGTTTAGGATTTTGTAGCAACATGGGAGGAGGTGGAGGGTGTTGAAAAGTCTTTATTTAGTAACGTAATAAGTGAACGAACCCATAGCAAATAGCAAATTAAAGAAGTTTTCCACCAAATCTCCCCTAAACTCTCCTAGCTACGCAACTGATCTACATGAGTCAAGAAATCAAATTTGGTCAAAAATGATCCTAATGGTTTTGATCAGTTCTGTACCCTTGCATGAGTTCATATTTTATTCTATAACTTCTAATCGAACGTAGTGGAAATTGACACGTAAAGAAGTTAAGTACACTGCGAATATAAGCCCTAGCTTCTACTTTTGAGTATAGAGTGATACCAGGAAGAGTTCTAGATCATCATATTCACATCATATGCAGTCACATACACTGCAAAAGCCTTCAAAACAACCCTAAACCTAAAAGTTATGACTAGGCTCAGAAAAGACACAAAATTCTGCAAAACTTAACAATGAATTTAAATTTGACGGAACTGCCGCAAAACTTCCAACTCAATAAAATTTCTATCTAAGCCGCTATTCCACGATAACCTCCAATTCTATGAATTTTATGTGAAGACGTTCTATTTACTTTCATTTTCAGACATTGTCTGGCGTTGTAGAACTGACAATAGATAAACCAAAAAAGATTAGAGGTATGGGAATGCTGATTTGTTATTTATTTTTCGAAACGCAATTAAATACTAATTTGGAATAATATTTTTTTCGTTATCGCTTCGTCGCAGGTTTGGTGCTGAAAATTGAGGGATATGCGAAAGTGGAATGGACTGAAGTAAGAAGAAGCTTCGATGTGATTTATTTGATGTCTTTAATGATATTTTTGATTTATTTTGGCTGTGTAGTCAGAAAGATCTAACCGCTCGACACAAGGGCAAACCGCAAATTCTCGACGCAAGAATGTGACATATTCAGGACGTGAAGATTATATGTCATCAACTTCTTATTTGATTGGAAGTCCAGAAGGTAATTTTGTGTGTAAACTTTAAGTCATTAAGATTAGAGTAAGTGCTCTTATGAGCTGTACTCAAACTTAGCATTATATAAGTCTGTAAACTAAGTTTAAATGCTTTGTGACTTATATCAATTTCCATATGTAAAGTAAAGATTGAGGCACAACAATTAGTTGACATTCGAAACAGCTGAATGGCATTTATTTATTTTTTTTCAACAAAAACAATAGCTTACAATCAGCACTTAGACATTAATTCTTGATAATTGTTATCTGAGGTATTTAAGGGTCCATGCTGTCGGTTTCAGACTTGTGCTGATTTTTTGTTGATAAGATATTCAGTAGAAAGGAAGTGATCGATAGGATTTTGTGTCAATTTAAGGAATTAGGACTAGGAATTTTGAACATTGAATGACATATTCATGCTTTTGAGCAGTGTTGTCCAAACTGTGTACTACGGCACTCTAGTGTGCTGTAGATTTTTTTTTTAAATACCACGAACTACACGTTCTGTGTAATTTTGGACATGTCTTACTATAAAGATGTGCCGTGGCTCAAAAAGTTTGGACAACACTGCTTTAGAGCATGCTTGTCTTTAAAACTTGTCTTTGCAGGTAATCAAATTGAGATAGCACCAGGACAGTATAGGTATAACTTTCAATCAGTTCTACCGCCACAACTCCCGACAAGCTGTGAAACAAATCATGGATCAATCCGTTATCTAGTCAATGTTATTCTGGGTAAGTTTGAATTATCACTTGTAACTTTACAGGAGCTTAATATTATCCATTTTCAGACCGTCCATTTAAGTTCGATCTAACCTACAAGACAGCATTCACAATCATCAAGCAGCTAGACCTAAATTATGAAAATCCATCCTTAACAATCCCATTAAAAATGGACACATCAAAGACTTATTGCTGCTGGTTCTGCAAGACAAAACCTTTACATCTCTCTGCATCTATTCCTCAATCAGGTTTTGTGCCTGGACAAATGGTGAATGTATATGTTGAGGTCCGAAATGATTCACGATTTGATGTCCTGGATGTTGTTGTAGCACTGATGAAAGTCATTAAATATAACTCACAAGTACCAAAGTTAAAGACAAAGGAAGAAACATTAACAGAAACACTAGTCCGGTACGGAGAAATCAAGAAAGAGTCAAGAAAAGTTTTCAATCAGCAACTTATAATTCCACCTGTGCCACCCTCAAACTCAAGCTATTGCCGATTACTGAATGTTTCATATGAAGTTGAAGTAAGATGCAATGTCGTTAAGTTTGCATCAGATCCATTCATTCGATTGCCAATAATTGTTGGAACAGTGCCTTTAAATATTAGACAAACTCCAGTTTTTCCAACAGCACCACAGTTGTCAACATCACCAATGTCAATATCTGGAAATTATGAGCATCTTGTGAACGCGTTTCGGATGGCTCAGCAGCAACAATCACAGAGGCAGAATACTGATGAATTGCGTGAGTTGAAGGAGTTTATATGGTTTAGGGTTGGAAAGGCTTAGTGTCTAGTGCCAGTTGAGTATACTCCAAAAATCTAGATCTAAGCTTGCTGTGTCAAGCTCTTTGTTAATTAGGGTACCGTACCTATTTTGACCAGGTACAAAGCTATTTAGGATATCTACACACAGCATGTTAGAGTTGTGTATCTTAAATGATTTTAAAAGCAAGCCCCTGAAGTCAGTTCTTGGCCTTTCAATAGGCTTAAGCCTGAACTATATCTTTAGAATGTCTTCCAATATTGAAGATCTAAACTAGAACCTATAAAGTTTCAAAATTTCCTCTGATTCCTCAATTTCAGCACCACCATCATATGCAGAAGCTGTCTACGCAGAAGAACAAGGCAGAGAAGTGGAACTTAATGAAATAGGAGAGCACACAATGGGAACTAGACCATACCATCCAATGTATCCGTTCTACAATTTCAATAATACACAACCCCAAACCTCGAGCAGTCAACATGAGAATGGAATTCAAACTAATGGTTTGAACGGACCAGGAACTGTATCTGACTCGGCAATCGTCCAAAAGTATTAAGATAAAAATTGTTTACAAAATATTTGAATGGATTTAAAGTGAACCTTTATGTCATGTATTGATAAATTTCTTAAATAAAGTATTTATAGCATTTATGAGTCACACAAAATTGATAGCAATGTCTTTGTATTTCTTAACAATGTTTATACGTCAATGGAACTTCTATTGTGAATCATTTGCCGGTTGATGTCAGGGTTTCAGACCTCAAAATATTGCAAACTACGTCAAAAACTCGGAAGGCATTCAATATTTAATTTCAGCTATGCTCACTATCTTATCAACTTTATCACACACTTACAATAGCAAAAGCGTGTGAGATAAAAACACATGCTCATAAATAAGTTCTCAGTTCTGCTCATTCCTCTCAGTTTGATTTGTGTGTTTTGACTATTAACACGTCGTTTAACTTTATTTATTTTATTATGGTAAATTGCAACATTTCTTATGATAATAATCAACAAGGCATTTACTTTAGTGGACAAACACTATCAGGTGCTATTGAGATAACAAATGAAAAGAATAGAAGCATTAAAGGGATTACTTTGAAGATTGAAGGTTTTGCTAAGGTATGTAAACGTATTTTTGTCGATATTACGTAAGTTGATAAGGAAGCTTAAGTTTTATTATCAAAGTAAAGTGAATTTCAGTTCTAGTGAAGGTTCTTGTCGAGTTTAAGACATTAAAGCTAAAATCATTTGTAGAATTGTGTTTTTTACAGGATTAATTACTTTAATAGATCCTGGACAATAGTTTGCAATCCAACCCTAACAGACAAAGAGCACGATCTGAGCATGATTTTTAAAAATCAATATTTTAATTTGATGACGCTAAATTAGCGTGCTCTCCCATACAAATGGAGATCGCAGCAGGGTACCACAGAAATCACCTCTCAAGAGTACGCTTTACTACTTGCAAATTTTTCATGCAAGTTAAACTTGAGAACATGATCAAGAACATGTTCTGTTGATCATGCTTTAATTTTACTATTTAAAAAATTTATGAGCTTGTGATTTATGCTTTTGATCATGTTTTTGAGAATTTGATATTTTTATTCTTTTTTTGGTTATTGCGGTGATTCGAACCCGAGTACGCTGTGTTGTAGTTTGTCCTGATAACTGTTCATCTTGTCTAATGCCTGCTGAAATTAAATAACTTTTAAATGGATAAAAGACATATTAAACCTATAGAAAGTCCAAAATTATTACTTATAATAGTGATTTCTGCTAGCGCTTGTGAAGTATAAAGCAAGAAAATTTTTAACATGACCTCATGAGGATGTGAATGATCATGCTTTTTATATACTCTTCTGATCATGCTCTTGAGAGTACATAAAAGATTATGAAGTAAAAACTTGTATGGGACCGTTCAATGGGACCGTTCACTTATTACGTTACGTAAAAAACCGACTTTTTTTCACCCCCCCCCCCCTGCCCCCCTTGTTACAACTCACACCCCCCCCCCCCCCCTCTAAACGTTCATAATTCAATTTTTTTTCGTGAACTTTTTTTTTAAAAGACAGACGACAGTTAGAACGTTACATTCTTCTTGACACCTCCCCCCTAAAATGCGAACGTAATAAGTGAACCCCTATGCAAGTTATTGATAATTAGAGGATGATTGAGTCCGCTACTGAACATGCTTTTTACTGAGATCTTGAGAGGATGTTAAAAAAGCGTATTCTCACCCGTACTCTTAATCAAGAGCGTGCTCTTTGTCTGTTAGGGCAAACAGAATTCAACAAGTAATCTATTACTAAAATTGAGCTTAAACTCCCTTAAATCAGCATAAATGTTGGTTTGTTTACATCTTTTTGGTTGACACTCTACTCTGAAGGGATTGTTAGCACTTTAAAGTTCAAAATTTTCGTTTTCATCAGCTTTGTAATCACAAGCAAAGTATTCAAGCTTAACAAGATTCTAACGCTTGAAATCACAAAAAAAAGACTTAATCTTTCAAACTATCTCTTAAACAGTGCAAATGGACAGAACATGAAGGATCAGGAAAGCATAGAAGAACAATTTACTATAAAGGAAGAGAAGATTACATCAGCACTTTCAGTTATCTAATTGGAAGCTATAATGGTAGCTACAATACAAAACTAATTCCAACTTATCTTTAATAGCAAGTGGTTCGGATCCCACTATAAACTGTAGGTCTAAAGGGTGTGGTACAATAGATTCTGCTCTAATTTGAATCGCAGTGCCTCCAGCTGAAAGGCTGGGCCCTTCACACATTATATATTATATATCTTTAATCTATGAATATCATTTCAGGTGAAGCGATTGATTTAGCCGAAGGAGTTCATAAGTTTAATTTCATTTGCGCGCTGCCACCTCAATTGCCCACAAGGTTCGTTATCAAATATACTGATAAGTTAAAAGATATACTAAAACAATGATTTTCAACTTTTATTCCTATCAACATACAGTCTTGAGTCAAAATATGGCTACATTCGTTATCAAATCAAGGTAAGTATTGCATTTGTGCTTAACATTTCAAAATTCCTGACCTTCCCCAAAAAATGTTTATTATTTATTTTAGGTTGAAGTCGAAAGACCTTGGAAAAGTGATTTTAAATTCTGTTATGCTTTTACTGTCCTCAAGCCACTCGACTTAAACTTTGAGAATCAGTCACTTAAACTGCCTCTAAAAGCGGAAGTTTCAAAAAGCTTCTTCCTGGGATTTTCGAACAAAAATTTATACATGTCTGCAGAAGTTCCATTCTGTGGATATGTTTCTGGTCAATCAGCACCTGTTAGTGTATCAATTAATAATGAATCAGGCGTTGAAGTCTATGAAATCACAATAGAATTGATGAAGATAATTTACTACAACAGTGACACACCGCGAATGAGAACAAGACGACGAGAAGAAAAAGTTGCTATGACTAAGCATCAAGGAGTTCCAGCTAAGAAGAAAGGAGCAGCTATGGGCAATTTAGTGATTCCAGCAGTTCCCCCAACAAATACTGGTACATGCAGAACTATTCAAGTATTTTACGAGATTCTTGTGACTGCAAAAACTTCAGGAATGCATAGAAATTTGACTGTTGTGCTGCCTATTACTATTGGAACTGGTGAGTGCTTTAAAATTTGATACATATAATTTTTAAAATATCATATGTCTTCAAAATGTCAGTTCCTTTGCTGTCAACATATCAAAACATTTATCCAGCGTTACAGCAAGACCAAATTCAATCAGGCTGGAATATTCAACCAAGTACATCACAAGCTACATATCCAGCAACACAACCTGCATATTCAACATTAGAAACATCTTATCCATCAGCACCAGTAGCTAACTTAAATCCTGACTTACCTCCACCATCATATCAAGAAGCTATGATGACAACAACTCAGGAAGTAGACAACGAAGAAGGTTTGAATGATCAGCAAGCTTTTAATCCAAAGTATCCAGTGTTCAATTTTGCAAATCAGGCGCCAATGCCATCTCAAGCATTGGCCCCACCACCTTATTCACTTCCACCTACAGACACAAAGAATGAAAAGAAACCACTTTAAGGTGACATTTTTTTATTGAAAGCATCCAAAAAATTTTGTTTCTTGCATCTTAAAACATTTCTAAAGATTATTAATACTAAAGTGATTCTGTTATCTTAACACAATAATTTTATAATATGGTGACATCAATATCCAAAAAGAATGTCCATTCAAGTGTCAGTTTCACGCAATAAATTTGAATAAAATTGTGACTTTAGAATGCAATTCTGTCAGCACAAGTGAAAAAATTCCATCTCAAAAAGTTTATGACTTTGCCGCAAGTCCATTCGACAAAAAACCACAATAGTGATTTAATAGCACTGACAGTAATGCACAGTAGAAATATGGAACATATTAAAAAGGTTTTTTAAAAATGTGGAAGCAATTATCTATGAATCTTAAGCGTTGCCTTGGCTCGATCCTTGACCAAACTGAGATCTATAATGCTGTAAATTTGCATTTGCAGCTGCAGCCATATTTGCATTTGCTACATTAGCAAAGCCAGCAGGGAAATTCATTAGATTCGCTGTGGAATGGAAGAAGATGATTAATATCTTCAAGTTATTGGAACTAAGGGAGATTGTGACATACTTGCTGCGGTAGTAGAAGCCGGACTACCAGTTGTAGCCAATCTCGATAGAATTGATCTTTCGCTAAGCTGTAAACGCGAAGCAACAGGTGGAATTCTAGCCAATGTTGCGGGTAATCGTGCAACGTCTGACTTCATGTCAGACAAAAGTTCTTCGAGTTGATTCAACACTTTGTGCAGCACGGCATTCGCTGGTTTATTTCCTGCGCATAAAGTAATATTTTTTAATGATAAATCATGGACAACATAATAAATTTGTAAAGCTTACCAGCAAGACTCTCCTTACTCAAATGCTGATGAGATTCAGCTAAGCATTCGACTTCTGCGAATCGAGCATTTAAGCTCATCGCTGGATGTGTTGGATCTTGTGTAAGATTCAAGTATGCAGCACGTCTTAGTTGCTCTTCAATCACAAGAGCTTGTTCCAATAATTTGAATCTTCTAGCCAAGAACTTGTTCTTAATTTCCAAAAAGTTTCCCTTATTAATGTCCATTTTGAATGGCTCATTGATTATTGCGAATCTGATGTCATTTTGAATGTCTTGCCAGCGACCATAGCCGTGAGTTACAATACCAGCAAGAAGCCAGTAATCATGACGTCTATGCCATATTTCATATTCACGTGACGGAGATGCTGCTTTCTCTTCATTGATCCACAATGTATGCAATTCTGTGAAACCTCCATCGGCAATATTGAACATAAATTGACGCTTATGGACTTCCAACTGTTCTTTAGTCTTGTCTTTTGAATCTTCACTAAAGTCCTTAACTAAAACCACATCGTCATCGTCATCATCGCCTTTCTTATCGTCAGATCCATTTGATTCTTCCTTTTTGACTTCGCTCTTTATGGAACCACTTGGACTTGACTCTTTTGTCTTGGTATCGTTCTCATTCTTATCAGAATCATCATCAAGCTTCTTTTCCTCGCTATCTCGATCCTTTTCATCAGGTTTGTCGTTTGTTGATGGAGCTGGAGAAGGTGCTGTGCTGCATGTCGCTGATTTTGACAAGTCTTCATCCTTGATATCTTCTGATGGTCGAATATTTGGATCGAAAGGTTTCTTAATCAATTCAGGCATGGAATAATATCCATTAATATGTTCAAATTCGAGAACTTTTTTACGTATCAAGGACATAACACCAATTCTAGTCAATATATGTTGACGACTTAGACCTTCTCTTGGTACGCCATCAGCAAATGTTTCAGCACTATCAGCGCCAGGTTCACAAAGATGTCTCATGAATAAATTAACGTAGGCTCTGAAGTTTCTCTCAGACTTTCCACGTAAATCTCTAATGAGCCATGCATTTGTGGTTGCTGAACTTGTATCTGGCGGCATTCCAAATCTCATAATAAGATTCAAGAAGCTCTTACGTTGACGAGGATTGAAGCCAAGAACTTCAATGTTACCACCAACACGAGCTAAAAGTGGTGGTAAGGGACGATCCTTGTCATCCTTTCTATCCATTCGTCGACGACTACGCTTACCACTTTCGCTGTTTTCTTCATCTTCATCTTGATTCTCTTCATCAGAATATCCGCTGTAGTCTGAATTGTTGTAATCCGAAACATTCTCTTGCCATGTCTGATCTTCGCGAGATTCATTCGTGACAACACCGCCGTCTGTGTAATTAACTTGTTTGCGAACACGCTTTCCTTTACCCAAAGATCGTCCAACATCTTCTTGATGCTGTTCATAGTGATGTCTTAATAGTTTAATCCAATATGCTGGGTCTTGATTCTCCGAGTCTTGCTTAATAATTTCTGTTTCTTCTTCCTCCTCTTCCTTAGTACTGTAACTTGCTACTTTAAAGCTTGAAAGATATTCGTTTGCCCAATTTTCCTTCTCTTCAATTCCGCCTTTGGATCGATCCAATAATTCTTTTACTGCTTTGTCATCATAATGAATAGCTTCTTCTTCCTTTCCATCCTCTTTAAATAATTCTTCCGTACCGAATCTTAAAATGTCATCTAATTCTTGTTTTGTAAAGTTTGTTCCTTTCCCGCCCAAACCTAATTATAATGCATAAAGGTCATTGAAATAATTTAAGGATATTATAAAAATGAGTAGATGCTGGCACCAAAAAATTCATAATTTCCATAAACTTACCAGGTCTGACAACCAAATGTGTCAACATCATTTTTCTCTTTGCAACTTGTGTCACACGTTCTTCTACAGAATTTCTCGTAACAAATCGATAAATCATGACTTTGTTTGCTTGACCGATACGATGTGCTCGAGAGAATGCTTGGATATCCTATAGAAAGAAAATATTCGTTAGATTTGTGATGAATTGGCATTTAAAGTTGTACTTACATTATGTGGATTCCAATCAGAGTCGTAAATGATTACAGTATCAGCTGTGGCTAAATTGATGCCAAGACCACCAGCACGAGTAGACAAAAGAAAAGCAAATTGAGGAGCACCAGGAGCATTGAAACGATCGATTGCTTCTTGTCTCAGAGTTCCAGTAATTCCTCCATCAATACGTTCATACTTGTATCCTTCACCTTCTAAAAAGTCTTCCAAAATATCCAACATTCTTGTCATCTGAGAGAAAATCAAGACACGATGACCTTGTTCCTTTAATATCCTCAACATTTTAGACAGCAAGACTAACTTTCCAGCAGCTTTAACCAAAGCTGTGACTTCATAATTTCCACCAGCACCAAGTGGAGCTTCTTCAGATGCAGCAGGGAATAAATATGGATGATTACAGCACTTTTTTAAATCCATCATAATGTTCAAAAGTGAGCAAGCACCACCGCCAGATCTTGGATTCAAAGCTTCATAATTTCTAGTCAAGATGAACTTGTAGTACTTCTTTTGAAGCGGTGACAATTCGACACGAACAATAAACTCACTCTTTGAAGGCATATTTCTCAATACATCAGCCTTTAAACGACGCAACATGTGAGGACCCAACATGTCATGCAACTTCTGAACTTGCTCTTCTTTAGAAATGTCAGCAAATTCACTTTGAAAAACTGTAAGATCATTGAAATTTTCCTTACATAAAAAGTTCAGCAAGTGGAACAACTCTTCAAGATTATTCTGTAATGGTGTTCCAGTCAGCAGCAGTTTATAATCGATACTGTAACTTGCAAGAAACTTGAAGAATTTTGATTGATTTGATTTCAAACGATGAGCTTCGTCAACAACCAAAACTTTCCAGTCAATTGATGCCAAGCAGGCAGAATCGATGGATACTAATTCATAACTTGTCAATAGGACATTGAACTTAATTGTATTACTCTTAATTTTAGTCGTTCTTTTGCCACCAGCACCTTCTTCAAAACTTAATTCATTTTCACGAATAACAGCACGAGCTTCTTTATCACCAACATATGTCACGCAGTAGAAGTCAGGTGCCCACAACTCGAATTCTCTCTCCCAATTTACAATTGTTGATAGAGGAACAGCGATTAGGAATGGTCCGTTGCAATGTCCTTCTTTATATAGTGAATAAAGGAAAGTCGCAGTCTGAATTGTTTTACCCAGACCCATCTCATCAGCCAAAATTGTATCAGTACCATTAGACCATGAATAACGCAACCAGTTGATTCCCTCTAATTGATAATTATGCAATTGCATGCCAGTCTCATTGAAATATTCTGGTTGAGCTTCATACTTTTTACGTAAATCAGTAATTGGACGATCTGGAGGTGGTACATAGCGTTTAGTCATTATTTGTTGACTCTCTTCATCATCTGTCTCTTTTGTACGGCGACGTCCTTTCGTCTTTTTGTTATTCTTTTTCGATGCACCCGGTTCCATTGTATTAGATCTCAAGTCTAGATAAAATTCGATAGCTCCTTTCAATCCAGGAACATCATCAACTTCTTCTTCCCAGGTTGACTGGTCATAAGGCAATTCACGCCATTTTACCAAATAAAGTGTCCTTCCATCACGCATTTGACGATGATTGATGACACGATGAACAACCAACCATTCTGGCTTGATACCATAACGATAGAATCTTACTTCTAAATCCTTTGAATCGTCTTCTTGATGACCATGATGATGTCGATGACGTTTCAATCGTTTGAATCGACTGTCTCGCTCATCAAGTTGTTCTTCAAATCTTGGTGGTTCCTCCATATCATATTTACGTGTATAATAACGGAACATGAGTGGATGGAAGACATCCAATTGGAGTTCTGTTATCCAACTACAATTCCAATAACTGAGATCCTTCCATTTGATGAAATATTCGCGACATCTAGCTTGTGGTGGTGGTCCTTTTGATGTTGATGCTTGTGGATTCTTTGGATCTTCAGGAACTGGTTCAGCCCATCTCCAAGTTAGGATTTTAGCGACTTTTCCTGGCAATTTCGGACAGCTACAACGTGGACATCTCCAATCACCATCAGGAATTTCACTTAATGGTGGATCCAAACAGAATGTATGATAAGCTGATGGACAGGAATCACAGCAAAGCAATTCGCCTCCATCTTTACATAAACGACAAAATTCTTGATGTTCATCATCATCTTGTTCAACTGGACCTTCTGCCTCACAAGTTGGACAACTCCATTTTCCTTCGGGTGCTTCTTCCAATTCTGGATCCAAACATACCAAATGATATGCTTTAGGGCAAGTGTCGCACAAAATAATTTCACCACCTTGTTGACATGCCTCACAATAGTCTTGATGCTCTATGTCATCATCCTGGAAATTTGCTTTCTTTGACTTCTTTTTTTTTGATTTATTTCCAATTTTAGTCTTGGCTTTTTTACGAACGACTGGCTCAGACGAAGCTTCTTCATTTGTAATTGTTGTCTGTCTTGTTTCTTCCTCGTCTTCTTTATCATCAGTTTGCTGTAGCATCTTTTCAAATTCTATGTCAGATTCACGTTCAGAACCTTCAATTGATTCCTCTTGATCATCTTCAGAGCTTGCATTTTTTCGCTTGCCAAACTTAATCTTTAATGTTGGAACTTTTGGCTTTCGTCCACCTTTCTTGTTTCCTCCACCGTTATTTCCACTTCGACCTCTTTTAGATTTGGTTTTTGATGATTTTGAGGCTTCCTCATCGTCATATTCTTCCTCGAATGTTTCTTCAACTACTTGCTTTGCAGCTTTCTTACTGGAACGAGATTTTGTTTCTTTTGGTGTAAATTCAGGCGACTTTGGTGATGGTTGCTCTGAAATGTCTTCCTTTTCAGCTTCTTCATCTTCTTGCTGTTGCATGTGAGGATTGATTTCAGAGAATTCGCGCCATTTTGCAGCAACAAGCATCATTAACTTAGACATTGGTACACGAGGATTTTCTTTCTGTAAAATTGGTCTTACATGTTGCTGGAACATTTTATAAGTGACAAGATTCTGGTAGTCAGCATCAGAATATTCAATTGGCACATCAGTTAAATCGAAAGTGCTGCAAACTTCCTCAATTGTCGGCATATTTGATTCTGCCGATGCAGCTGGTGTGGGAACTTGTGCAGGCTTCTTCTCTTCTTTTTCTCTCTTTTTACGACCACGTTTGCTGGATGAATATTCATCGGAATCACCAGGTTGTTCCTCTGGTTCCTCTTCAGACTCATTCTTCTTACGCTTTTTCTTTTTGCGACCTTTTGATTTTTCTTCGCTGCGAACCTTTCGTTTCTTTCCTTTCTTTCTTTTACGGTCTTCAGGTTCATAGTCGTCGTCTTCCTCCTAAAAATATTTGAATTCAATTTAATTAAATTATCGGAAATCATTTGAATAATAAACAAATTTTACATTATTGACATTTTTCGTTGCATCTTCTTCATCTCCAGATCCGTCTACTGTTTCATCAATATTACCGCTATCGTCCTCAGCTGATTTATGAAAATAGAAGCACACATATGTAAAACGGTTTTGTGTAAAGACATGAAGAAAAAAATTTTCGTGTCAACGGCCTTGAGTGTATTGATGATGGTGCATTTAGGTCTTGTTTATAAGTCATGGGTTGTAGAAATTTATAGAACAAAACTTTAATTTCCAGAAAATTCTGAATTTTGTAATTTTCATAATTTTATGCAACAATCTTTTGTTTTAGAGAACTGGAAATGATTTTTAAGGCGGAAAATTAAGCTTCAAATTTATTTGGGTGTCGGAATTTTTTTCAAATCCCAGACAGCTTTATGGAAAGTGAAAATTTGTTATTTTGCCAATAAATTTCACTTTTAAGCACCTAATTCTGCTTTATTCCTTTAATTTAACCATCATCAAACACTTTTTCACAGATTATATCCAGAAATTGACAATTTTAACATGAAAATATACAAAAATAAATTTTTCACATTCACCTCCAAACTTTTCCTCATTTTCGTCACTATTTGACATTTAAACTGTCTTATTTCAACTAATTTCGATGATGTCGGTGCTTATGATCAAAGCTGTGATACTTTTGATAATCAAATTGAAGAATTTACTTGCTTTAATCAAAAAAATTCTTTAGTTTTTGAGCGGCTTTGAACATAAAACACACAAGTATATAAAAATCGGTTCCAACTATTCAGTAAGACTTCATTTCATTTCAGTTCAGTTTTCTTGAAACGGTTGAGATTTAGGAGAGTCAAATTGAGAGTGCAAGAGAGGATTTTAGATGAGAACGAGGGAAATTGATGTTTTCTGTTAAACTTGAGGAAAAGTTTCAAATTCTGCAAATAAAAGTTTGTAAAGGAATTGCTGTTTTTGTGAAATTGAGACTATTTAGGAAATTGGAGGAAGCTACTAATTGACTTTTTTGTCGAATCTCTTTAGTTATGATAATAACAAGGTACAACAAATTTTTTAATCTCTTCTGACCACTTCCTTAACTTCTTTTTGGTATTTAGCACCAAAACATCGACAAATCCAAACCTAGCCAACATTAATAAAATATCTAGATTGATCCAAAGGTCCTGGGTTCAATCCCAGGTTATGTCATGTCTAATTTTCGAAGCTCTTTTTCCATTTCATTGTTCTAATTATGAAGCTCGGTTCGTGTGTTGGATGTAGTTTTGATGTCTTTGGCACAGAATATGCCTGCTTTGCTAGGTTTGCAAGGATATCTTTACGGCATCTTGCGCTCACGAATTGTGACTAGGTACATTGCAGGGCACATCAGATGTTATTACGTACTCGTATCTTTGCAATGTGGAGAGCTTGTTATTTAAGTCATGAATGATCTAGAACTTTATTTTCAGCATGCTAATCATTCTCGACTTTTTACAGCATAATTGATCCCATCGGGACGTAAAATAAACACACCTGAAAATCGATCATAATGTTTTCAGGATGTTCACTATTCAAGTTAGTGTTCTAGAATGTCAAAAAATACTGTTGCTTTAAAAATTCCTATAAAAGTTAAGAGCTATAACATGAACTCTCGAAAATGATACATAAAATACTTTAAAAAGTCCTTTTCGAGTTCAAAGAACTATCAAATTTCCACAAAAAAACTGTCAACGCCCATAAATTACATAAAATCCTCTACTGAACAGGCTGGATTTTTTATCAATTGCCGGTATTGTTGGAAATGCTTAACACTCTCCCGTCTCAGTCCCACTCCAAAAATTACTTACTTATGCTGAAAAACCAAAATCCACGAGCTTTAACCATCACAAAAATAAACCATGCTTCCTCAACTGACAAAAAATTAAATTAAACAAAAAATTCTTTTATTCTCTGTTGTGTTCTGTATTTTAAAATTAAATAATATTTTTTTTATTCTTTCCAACTAGGTATGTATCGTTAAACATATTAAGTTAATTACAACTTTCTTTATTAAATTAATTTGGAGCAATAAAAATAAAACACAGCAGCAATAAACGTACAGATATTTTAAAAATATGTTTTATTATATTTTCCTTCATTTTGAAATCTCTCAAAAATATTTTTTTTTGTTTTTTACTTTTAGATTTAATTTTAATACATTTTGATTTTTCGTTTTTCATGGATATCAGTCAACTTGACTTGATTAAAATAATACTTGAATTGACTTTTATTTAAGAAAATAAGTTATCTCTGCTTAAATAAATCTTTATGCATTTTAACCTCAATTTTATAGAAATTTTCTCACATCAAGCTAAGATTACTTAAATTAAGTCACATGAATACATCAAGTCAAGTTGATTGAAACTAGCAAGATGCATAAATTAGTCAAATGTCAAGGAATTTGAAGATAATCAACTTGACTTTGAAATCAACAGTCTATTCCTTTATAAATATTTAAATAAATTTGACACAAAATGTTTAAACTTCAATTTGATTTTGAATCATCAAGTCAAGTTGATTCTGATTCATCAAGTCAATTTGATTGAAATTCTTGAAATGAACTTTTCTCGGATTCATTATGATTTTTAAATTCAAGTGAATCTAATTCATCAAGTCAAGTTGACTCTAATTCCTCAAGTTGACTCTTTTTAAATTGACTATCATAATTTCTTAAATAAATAAATAAATAAATAAATTAAACTTTTTGTCATCTTTCAAAATTGTCCATTTCCTCCCAGCCCATAGAGTAAATGGAGAATTTTTCGCAGGAAAAAGAAGTTCTGCCTTTTAATTGGTAGACATTCAATAACACTTAATTTTATATTCCTTCTTTTGTGTTGACTATCTTTATCCTCTTGATCCAACAAATCCTATTCGTTTGTCTTGTATTGAATCTGATGCAACTCGTGATGCTGGTTGTAATCCATTGCTAAATTCATCTGTTGCAAATCGTAGTTGTCTTATTGAGCTATCTGATGACTGTAGGTGTGGGAAAATGAGAGGGAAATAGAATTATTTTGTAATTAAGTATAAACAGTTTGAGAACTTATGAAGTTGTTGATATATTATAAGCGCATTAGTATTGGTATGGTTAGAAAAGAGTTGTATGATTGCTCTAAGACAGTGAATTAAAACTATTTGTGGCGACACACCAGCCGTATGCTGTGTACGGTTTTGGTCATGGCTGGCCATCAATGTGAGTCATCGAAGTTTGGAGACACCAAAATTACTCTTCAGCTGCTTAAGTTTTGTGAATCTTAAGAATACACGAAAAACAGCAACAAACCCAAATCTCAACCGAATGCATCCAACACCCAATTTTAATTCAGATTTCTACAGAAACATAACCTCAAAACAAGCTGTCTTGAGGTGACTAGAATCATACATCTCATTCAAAAAACTGCTCAAGAATGTAATCAAAAAAAGTTTAACCTTATCAACAATCTCCTTAAATCTCATTTGAATTCTTAATCTCACATACCTTTTTGCCACGAACTCCCACGAATTTGCCATAGGGAAAGAATGGCTTCTTATGAACCCCGAAGAAACTTGACTGTATAAAGCAACAAAAAAAAAAGGAAAAATAAAGAGAACAATAAGAAAAGGTTAAAGTCATGTAAATAAAGATGTTTATGATAGAAAGACAGGGAATGAATTTCCATCAGATAAATAGTTTACCACAACTGGTTGCTTTTTGCCCCTCATACCAAAGAAACTTGCAACGGGAACTCTCTTCTCGCTCATTCCAATAAAATTTGAATATTCAGATTTCTTTCCTCGAACGCCTGTGAATCCCATCGGTGACCTTTTCTCGTCCATATCAAAATAGTCATCATTATCAATGGACTTTTTTCCTCGTGATCCAATAAAACCGACTGGCTTCCGCTTATCTCTCTCATCATTATAATCTTCCATTAAAGCTGCAAGCATTTCACGTTCCTTTTGTAATTCTTGATAGAGTTCAGCTTGGAAATCGTCATTATCAACGAAACTTGGACGATAATTATAATCATATCGCTTTCTGCCTCTCATGCCGACAAAGCCATATGGTGCTCGCTTTGGCATTTGTTGTGAATAAATTTCATTCTCATTCTGTGTAATAAGTAGAGATTAATATTTAATGGATACAGTTTTAATGTGACAATCCCTACCATAAACCAATCATCATCATAATCCTTCTTTCCACGCACTCCATAAAATCCAGATGATGGTGCTCGAACTTCTCGATCGAACCATGAATCACCATATGCTTGATCTTGATTGTTTAATGAATTGTAGTATGGCTGTGGATTTTTAACTAACATTTCCTTCTCATTTGAATTTTTGTCGCTTGCTGGTCCTTCATCACAGATTGCTGGACTTACGACTAGAAAAGCCAAAACGCCTACAACTATTGCATTCATTGTCTACACCTACGATTGGAAATGGATAAGAAATTATTGGAAATATAGAAGTTGTGGTATAGTGGAATCTGCAGCTCAGTCTTGTGTAGGCGAACTTGCCAGTGTGTCGAATTAGTCTTTGTGCATGAAACGTCTAGACATATTGAGAACTTGTTTTAACAGAGTATAGGTTCGATTCCTACCAGAGACTGATAAGTATAATCAGAGTAAAGAACCCACTACTCATAAAAATTAAAAAATTTCCATTGAACCATAAAATTACAGAGAACTAAACCTAAACAATCCCAAAAGTATTTAACCTTCCAATTCCTATTTGACCTTTTAACAATTTCCTGCAAGTCAATGATATAGAACCAAAAAACTTTCATTTCGCACACGTCAGAACAGAACCAAATGGAAAAGGATCAGTTTCCCTTAATTAATTGCAAATAATTTGTTCATCGAGGCTTAAAATGAAATGATGATGGTACTCGAGCCATTTTTACATTTTTCTGTATATGTAATATTGTCATCAACCCGTAATTATGTGCTATGCTACAACACCTTTCTGTATATGATAGGGAAAAAAACTTTGTTTTTTATTCTTTGTTTGTAAATCATTTGTGTGAAAAAGGAGGCATCAGTTGAGTCCTGATGAGAGGATATAAAAATGTATATCATACACTTAGGAAGTATGTACAGAATTGATGTGAATGAATGTTCTATAAACATTTGAAGAAGTACAAAAGGAATGTTTTTTATGAATATTTTAAAGGCTGGTTGGTAGATGAGGGAGTTTGGTTTCATGGAGCGAGTAGCGAGGGACTTTTGATGTTGTGTATGTTCTTTGAAAACTGGAAGTTATGGATGATATGAATTGATTTATATAAATCTCATAAAATGTTCAAGTATTCTTCAAAGCTTTTAAAGCAAAAATAATAATTTATTGAGCATAAAAAAACATTAAAAGAAATCTTAAGTTCTGTGTCATTTTTAAGCGATGCAGAAAATTTGTTGTTTTGCTTCTCTTCCAGAAAGAAAAATTTGCATCATTTACAGAATGCTATTTAAATCTGCGTCTTTTTTTATTTTGACGCAAAAATTCTGCGTCTTTTTTACTATGACGCAAAATTTCTGCGTCTTTTGTCTAATGCGATGCACTAAAATTGCGTGTTTTCTCTAAAGTGATGCAGAAATTTCCGCATCTTTTCGAAAATGATGCAGGAAATTTTTAGGTTAAATTTTACAAATTTACTGTAACTACACCTTGAATTACAATTCTACCATATTCTACCTTCATAACAATAATCATTTTCATTGATTTTTACCAGAAATAAGGTCACAATACTCATAAAATTCAATCCAGAAGAGAATATAGATCTCTTATCTGAACTCCATCATTTTAATCTAATTAGCAATAACAATTTTTGGGAATAATTTAATTCTTAATTAATTCCAAGTAAATATTCATGTTAGCTTGCCTGTTTTCAACTTTTCTTCCATGATGGAATGTCACTTCAATAAACATGAAAATCCCGAAGGAGCTTTATTCATACTTTCAAAAAGTAATGGATATCAAATTTCAAGTCTGTCTACAATAAACAGTTTCATATAAAGCCACATGAGAGTTAAAAATTTATGACCCGAGAAATAGCTTGAATATTCATAGAATGCTTTTATATCAAGTTTCAATCAGCTTTTGTTGATTGTTTGTGGGATATTCTGTAGAACTTTCGAAAACCTCAATGTCTATGAATGTGTTAGGTTTCTGGGAAATTTCGGCCACTGTAGAGAGTCATTCAAATTAAGCATTTGACTCCTACTTCAAATTTCTTAAAGACTTAATCTCAAAAATTTTTATTATCATCTAATAAGCCTTCTATTCATCCAAAACAGCTTAGTTCCGAACAATTGAATACAAAACACAAATCCTTATTAATTTGTGCAACAGTTTGTATTTTATTTGATGTACTTAGCATGTAAATTGCCCTGCTTTACAACACAAGAAAAGAAACAATAATTGCAGACGACAATTGAGAGAAAATTTTCTCACATTAAGACGAATCGATTTCCACAACTTGTTGCATGACTTGTTTCTCTTCCTCCACTCACATAAATCTCTCTTTCCTCGTCTATGAATCTTCTTTGTATAGTGGGCGATGATGTCTGTGAGCAGCTGTTTAAATATGATGCCATTCAATTTATAGAATATGATTTATCAGTTTTAGAATGAGGATACAATGTGATTTATGATAAATTATTATGTGATAATGTAAAACGGATTAGCTGTGAGCGACAAAACATTAACATCATCATATCAACCTAATTTGATTTGTTTATGAATCGTTTATGTTGTTCCGTGGTTAAAACTATTTGTTATGATACTCGTTTATGATGATTAATGATGAATTTTTAATGAGTAAATTGCGCAAAAGTTGTAAATTTTCCTCATTTTAAGCGCAAATGTTATTTTACGGTCCTTTTGTACTTAAAAGCATTTTTAAAAAATAACCGTCTTTAAAATTTCAAAAAATTTCGTAGTTTTATTCCCCTTATCACTTCAAAAAGTTTTTCCTGAATTAATAGAACTAAATCATGAATTGTGCAGCAATCAATGATAAAATTTCATAGAAAAAGTTAGCAGCAATCAAATGCCAATAAGATCTTTTCAGAAATGCTTTAATATGATCAAAAAATTCAATTTTTTCCAAATCTCTAGTCAAAAGAAACATTTCCCAGAATAAATTGCGCCAAAAATATCCACTCTCCGATTTTCCAATGAATTTAATTTTGATAATTAACCGATTGTGTATCATAATTTCATAATTTAATCTCAAATGTTCAGTCAAGCGATGTCGCAATGAACATTTTAATAATTCATCAAATTATGAGCAATAATTGGGTCTATTAAATTAAAAATTGCTCAAAACAAATGAATTACTCAATTATATTAAATAAATTAATTTAATTGTGTGTTTATGCAAGTAATTTGCTTACAAGGATGAGCAACATGAAAGGATATTTTTGATATTTCATAATTTTCTGATCGCGAGGGGAATTTTAAGGAAGAATTTTAATGAAAGGGAAAGTTTGAATAATTCCTTTCTGGATCTAAGCACGTTTAAAAGCTACTCTGATGTTAAAGTCATAATATGCCATAAGCACGTCTACCTAGAGCTGTCTTGAGAGCTAAACTCTACCTGTTAGGTTAAGCTTTAATTCTACAACACAATAAAATCCATAAAAATACTTTAAAGTACTTTAAATCCTTTCATAACCCAGATGTTTCACATATTATCAGTAAAGAGCTACATAAGAACTTTAAGTCATAGCCCACATATACAATCTACTTCCTATGTTTATCACGGCTTTTTTTCGCGATATCAAGAGATAATGAGATCATCAAATGTTTACATAATGGCGACATTATTGTGAAAATTTATCAGATTTTATCACTTTTTATGAGATACACAAAAAATCAATAAAATCAGTAGCATTTGCGATAATCGAGTCACTTACATCGATCATAATTGCACATATATGATAAGGAATGGTTGATAAAATGACTTAAATGTCGGTCCTCGATAGACTCAAATGTTTGGAAATGAAAAAGCTTATTTTCGATAAATTATCTGAATGTCGGCAATTTCGCAAACGGCGCGGGAATTTGGCAACACGAAAAGTCATCCAATTTCATGCATGGACCTGAGAATCCATTTCAAATGCTTCTGGATTTCGTGTATTTTATATTAAAAGCTTTTTCTCTCTTTAACCTTTAGTTTATAGCAATAAAAGCATTAAAAATATAAGGTAAAAGCATTGAAATTTGAATAGAGCAGCCAGTGCATTCGTTGATGTGAAATTTTTGTAGCTAGAGTCGGTAAAGTTCATGAATAGAGCTCATATTCAAGTGGTTACTGAGCTGAATTCAATTTTTAATGTAAATGGGACTATTTTTCGGTTGTTTAAATTTAATATGGCAATTGGGAGTGGATATTTGATAGTTTAAGGAGTTGTTGTGGACTTTTGGACAAAAATGTTCAATTTTAGAGCTCAACGGAAATTTTAAGTTCAAAATTTTAACAGTCAACAATTATTTGAATTTTAAACTTCACTTTATATCATTTTGCTTTTAAAAATGACTCGAGAAAGTCAAAAGGAAATGAACAAGAAAACTTATTGTTCTCTTTAAAAAAAATGCGATACAATTGCCATAAAAATACTATAAAAAAAAACTTTTTTAAAAAAGCACGCTTTTATTTCCGATTACAGTGCACTAAAAAGGAGAAAATAATTTTTTTCTGAGAACTCAAATTTGATACAAAATTTTATGACTAAAAATTAAAGCGTGGGGCGTTTAATTTAAACCAGCTCTAGATTTTCTATAATATATTCACAAACCTATTTGTGCTTTTGTAAACATATATGGATGATTTTTAATTGTCACAATTCAAGATTTAGTGATGCATGCAAGAATGCCCCACGCTTTTATTTTTAGTCATAAAATTTTGTATCAAATTTGAGTTCTCAGAAAAAAATTATTTTCTCCTTTTTAGTGCACTGTAATCGGAAATAAAAGCGTGCTTTTTTAAAAAAGTTTTTTTTTATAGTATTTTATTTTCTACTTTTTAGTTTTATCAAATCTATAAATCGATTCAACTTCCAAAATTTGGAATTTTTGTTTTATTACAACACTGGTTCTATCAAACTTAATAAGGAGGTTACAGTTTTTAGATTGCAGGAAGTTTTAGATTTCACTTCGCTTCACTCCGTTTCATTCAACTTTTTATGAATTAACAGTTTTTAATGGGTAATTAGTAAAGACTGTCAAAATTTTTCATTCGTTTTAAATTATTTAATTCATACCTGAAAATACATGAAACTCTTTTAAAAATGTCCTAACTTCAAATAAAGATTTTGAGTTTATCCGTCCCATTCCTACTACATAACATGTAGATTCTTAACATAAAGATGAAAATCACATCTATACGTAACGTATTTATAACGGATTTTTTCAAATTTAAATTTAA